TGTAAGACACTCATTAGGCTCATCGAACATCTTCCAAGATTACTAGTAGTTTTTCCAATGTTTTTGGGCTCGGCCTGGTGGTTGACCCATTTTCGCCATTGGGTCTGGTTCAATCGATTGAACCGTTCATTTGATCGGTCTAACCAATCAACTAAAAAACACCTTTTTTTTTTTTTTACATTTTTATTAGATTTTACTTTCTTCTCCAACCGTCAACCTCTCCCAGCCCCAAAAACTTCCATCTCACCATCATCTTTGTCAAACTTCTTTCAGATCTCCTTTCTCGGATTTCCTGAGTTTTTTTTTAAAAAAATTTTTTCCTTGATTTTTCCTCCGGGCTTCTTTCCTTAGTTCTGATTCTCTTTCAAGTTTCAATTTTGAGATCTACTTCAACCCCAACATTCATCATCATCATCATCGAATGGCCACAAAAGCCTAGTTGGAATGGAGGAACAAAAAAAATCAAAGAAAGAAGGACAAAGGTTCATGAGAGAGTTTCTCACCACTAGATCGACTCATGGAACGGTGTTGATTGGCGACGAAGGTTCTACAGCTAAAGATACCTTTCCAGTCTGGTACTCGCATTTCTCACCACTAGCTTGGCTTCATGGAACGATGTTGATCTGTTTTTGCTATGAATGAGAAGTTAACAAAGGCGAAGAAGCAAAGCGCATTCACAAGTTCGATTGCTATGAAATCGATCCCTAAGAGCTTGCACTGCTTGTCAATGAGGTTGATGGAGGAAAAGATCATGTGCCAGAAGAAATATAGCAATGACAGATTCTGCCCAGTGGGTGGAAGGGGTTGGGCGGGCGAAGCGAGTTGAACAGGTCAAGTAGGTTTCGATAGATTAACTCTCAAAACGAGTTAAGGCATGTAACTGGCCCGTTTTTAAACCCAAGTTTGATTGAATCGATTCAATGAACCGAGCTAGGTCGGGTCTTAAAACTCTGAGTTTTTCACCTTATTTTCCTATATGTGGCTGTGATGCTACCCTTCCTGATGAAGTCTTAACCCTAACTGCATGTATCTTGGCTATATCCAAATTAGATAGTAATGATAATATCTGTGGCCAAAGGCGAGTTGAAAACTTAGAATACATTGAAGCACTTCATAGGGTAATGCAAGAAAAGGTTCAAAAATATCAAACTTGGATGACAAATGCTTATAACCATGTAGTCAAAGTTGGAGTTTTTACAGTTGGGTAAATGGTTCTCAAAGCCTTTGACCATGTGAGGAAGAACATTGTTGGCCCATCCAAGCTTGTTACAAATTGGGATAGTCCTTTCCTCATTGCAAAAACACATGATAGTAGTTATTATCATCTCAAAACTTGTGAAGGAAAGTCATTATCAAACCCTGTGAATGTTAAATAGGTCAGGCCATATTATTGTTAGGCCTTCCCAGCATTGCTCCTTGATAAGTACACATTTCTCATTTTGTAATTTTACCTCCCACATTGTGATTTGCTCTTGCCAAAAGGGTTAATTTCATCTTTCTTTTGCAATTATAAATACGTCTAGCACTTTCTTGTTGTATTTTGCACATTCTATATTAGCTTGTTTGTCCTCCATTTATTTTACTTCATTATTATGTGAGGATAGGGAGTGTTGACAAAAAAAAAAAAAGAATAAAGGTGCAGTAGGGAAAATACATGTATTAAAAAAAAAGGGAGGAAAAAAATGCACCATATGTAATAATGATAGAACAACCTCCCTAATCCATGCTTTCTCATATGTAAATAGCATAGCTACACTTGTTAAAGTGCCACAGTTAACATACAAAAAAAAAAAAAAAATTGCAAGTCACAAAGACAGCAAGTATTCAAGCAAAGAAAACCAAAATTCGCTGGATGTGAAGATGTTCAACCCAAGACAAACACAATAAAGGAGTTACATCACGGCAACATCGCCAACAATCATCACACTACAAAAGAAGTAGAATAAAAGTTGTTCATGACAAAAAAGTATTGGTGTATATGGTTGCTTATGGCTAAAAGGGGCTGGGCTCATCACCATAACTCATGGAAATTTTGATGCAAGTCTAGCAGAGCTTAGCAATTTTGTTGGAACTTGAGTGCTCCTTCTCTTAGTTGAGCGATTCTAGATAAGCCTTAGCTGATTTTAGCCCTTTTTCTAACTTAAGAATGAGTTCCTTCGTCTTAGCCAAGGATTTCCTCTTCTCCTTAACATGCTTCACTTGTTCCTCAATCTACTCATCCAAGTTCCCAACCATGTTGCCTCTAACCGTGCCAAACTCGCCCTTGCTAAGGTACACCTTTGCCAGATCTAGTAACTATGCTTGCATTATGCCAACTTTGAAGTTTATGCTGTCAGCATCATCGATGGCATCCTTGCAAAAGAAATCCTTGTCCATCTCAACAAAAGGGGTTACCTCCATGTATCACATAACCACACAAAGACTCACAAAGGCATCTTCAATCATCACTTTCTTAGCTTTACTGTGCCTAATCAATTCAAGGATGGCGTGCCCATATCTATAGCATTGGGTGCACTTCAAACTTGCCCGCCAATCGAGCATCGCCAAGAGGCACAGGCCAAATTGCACCAACAATGCATTTCTATCTTCATTCATCTTATTTAGGTCTTTGAGCAATTTCACAGCAAAGTTGTCAACCTCACTAGACATAGGTGAAACTGAGGATGGTTTTTCACTGTGCACAAGTTCACTTGAAGTAGACACCTTCTCTGCCACACTTATCGCTAGCTCATCGATATCCATTTTGTCTTATTGGGAATAGGCTTTTTCAAAACATTGCCTATGTCTGACTCAAGCTCCTTGTGATAGCCTTATTTATGTCTATGCTGCCATGGAAGCCTTCATCTTCACCCTCTTACTTAGAGCCATTCTCACTCTTTAATGACTCACCACTGTTGACGAACTAGTTGTCACTGCCTTGGTTGGACCCAGACCTTGCCTCTTCAACAATTTCTTTGTCTTTCCCTTCGTTGGCAATAGTTATGGCTTTAGCCTTGTCTTTCTCAACATCTAGTGAAGCAAGTGAAAAAGCAACCAGTCAACAAGGAATTTTACTATTAAGTATGACAAGGTACCAAACTATGCATTATATTTCTTGCCATTTATGGTACCTTTCTCAATAGTGGTGGTGTCAACGCTTTTTTTAGTTAAAGGCTTCCTCGGAGCTAGACCAACATCAACAGCTTTGAAATGAGGTGATTCACTGGCCATATGTGGCTACATAAAAAAATAGCCAAGTAAGAAACAAAACAACTCTAGCAATGGCAAAGGTGTCCTTTAGCTATCTTGTAAGCGAAAAGGTGCATACCTTTATCATGATCTTCTTTGACCAAGTCCTCGTTACTTCAGATTTCTTTGTTATGCTGGGGGTACCATGTGAAACCCTCACACCTCTCCTCACCTACATTGGAATAAGGAGTTATAAAGTTACTAGAAAAATATATACATATGTGCAGTCCATAATTTTTTAGCTCTAGCTCTTTAATTACAAAGATAATTTGCAAGATGTATATGACTTATCGTGGTAGATTTCCATGGTGAAGCTACACTTGCCTTAATCCTTTTCTTTGCAATGTCAACTATGAAAGACATGGGATCATCCCAATTAATGATATTGTTAATCAAGCTAAGTATGTCATTAGGAAGTAAAAGTAAAGGCTCACCTACTTCACCAGTCGAGATATTGTGGCAAACTTCAAGCTTTGCCAAGGCTTGCTTTACGTTCATTACCAGCGCCTCTACCTCTTTAGCCTCTTTTGACTCAAATGGAGCTTTATCATCGCTAGGAACAGGGATAGGGCCAAGACCTCTGTTGGAAGCTGATGACTGCCTCTATAAGCATTAAGCCACACGTGTGAATCCTTAGTGAGGTCAACAACGATCAAGAATTTGTATTGAGCATACAAAGAAGGGTCCAACGATATGTATACATGGAGTGAGATGCTCGAGTCATAATATTTTGCACCTAAGTGCTTCTTGCTATGGACTAGCCTAAGTCTCTTAATTTGTTCAATCACCTTTGGATTCGAATTGTCGTAAGAACTATAATCACTTTTAGTTTTGTCACCTTTCTATTTTTCCTTGGTGACTTTTGTTTTGAAATGTGTGGGTGCCTTGGTCTTACTCAACTTGCTAGCCAACAAAGCAACAGTTTTGCATGCCTTGCTCTTGAATGGTTAAGCAATACTCTTTCTCTTGCCCAAGGATAGTTTCTTCAAAGGAACAACTTGGCTGGCTTTTTCTACGACATCATACATCAAAAGAATAAGTATGGGATATAGCTTTTAAATAAAAGAAGAATTGAAGTTTAAGACAAAAGTGGAGAAGTTTATTTACCTCTAACCCTAGCATCGCCAACCATCCCCTGTCCTTGCCCTTTGTCAACACCTTCACCCTGGCCATGCTCTATCTTCACAACATTAAACATGGCAAACATATGGATACCACTTCTCGTCATCTTCTCTAATCAAGAAACCCCAAAAATGATGTTGTAATAACTCAAAAAAGAATTATTGCACACAAACAATCTCGAGAAGTGGATGCAACAACCTTCAATGATGACTAAATGAAGGCATTGAACTTTTTCAGCAATGTTTCCTAGTACTTTAACATCAAAGATGACATGGTCGACACCTTAGCTGGGTTGAAGAATCTAAGTGTGGCTGTGCTCTCACTCTATATAGCTGCTACAACATCAGCAATGTAAAGCATCATGGCCATATCCCAATCTGAATTATCCAAAAAATGAGGCAATAGTATGTCTTAATTATAGCCAAACTATTGGGCAACTTCTTCTAAGCAATAACTCACGAGGTCCCATAACCCTTGCCATGTAATGCATGGTAGCATGGATGGTGCAATCACAACCACTATCTCCAAGTAATTCATGTTGCCTCTAGCGAAGCCCATAATTTGGTTTCTAGGCACTATTGCAAGTGTCTTATCAAAGAAACTCACCTTTGATGGTGCAAATGTCCATGGCATTGTTTTGTATGCGTGAAAATTAAAGCTAGCATGATCAACAAGAAAGTTGTCAACCTTAGGTATTTGGACTTTTATTTTTCTCTTTCCTATCCATGAGCAAGCTAGTGGGGCAATTCCCCAGTGTAACCACACTTTGCTAAGGGGAACTCTTTCAAAACTTTGCCATTAGTAACATGGCTAGGGTGATATAAATTGAATCTCTCCCACACAAACATTTTCAACAAGGGCAAGCAAACATTGTCTTGATGATATAATACCCACCACTAAGAATCTCATCAAAATGAAGTAAAATCAAGAATGTGATAAAGCGTACCAAGCATCAACGATGCCAATGAAAGTCTCGTGCCTTTGGCTAAGTGTATGACCAATAGGATGCAATCAACCATGATCTTGTGATTTGGAAAACCTCCCAAAACGAACTTGCTCAGCCAAGCCTTGAAGAAGGCTTCCCACACATATGGACTATTCTTACCTTCACCAATCTAAAAGTATGACATCCAAGTCAAAAAATCAATGTTGTACTCACCTTACTTCTTCAAAGTCATTTTGATAGCACTCTCTTTTTGTGTCAATGTTATGTGGTGCAGCTCTTTATCTCTAAAATTGGGCAATGACATTAAGTTCACTACATCCTATAACGTTATTAACATTTCTTCAAATGCAAGGATAAAAATGTGTGTTGGTGCAACATTTTCTCACTAAGCAATGAAAACACACTGCTAAGCTACAAAATTTGACTCAAAGCTATGGACTTAAAAATTCCAATAGTGTGGAATACCTCTACAAAGTCATCATCAACCAACATGTCTTTGGCCTAACCTATCTAATCCTCCATCTTACCTGATGGGAATGTGAAGTAAAGTGGCACCAATAATAAATCACGACTCTCTAACCTTGTTCATATTAAATCCTTCGGCGAAGGAACCCATGCTATATTGACTTAGCCATCGTTGAAGAGTTTGAGTAAGACTAAAACTTTTTGCTTCTCAAGTGTCTTTTTGACTGACCAAGCAGTAAACTATAGAAACCTATCTTCAAAATTATACCATGGATCGTGGTATGCATATACTTCGTCATTTAGAAGAGGATTGACTATTCTTGAACTATTTTTTTTTTTTAAGAAGCGAAGAAGAGTAAAATTCGGGTTAGAGAAAATGAAGAAACTCGCAGCATGCAAGAAGAAAAGCTTGATGCTTACCTTGATTTGAAAAAGTATTTTGCCAAATCAACACTTAAGCTTGCTTCTTCATGTTGAATCTAGGCACAACACAACAAAATCCACATATATTTTATAGAAGATTGATGAAAAATCAAAGACCCAAGGAGGGGAAGTTTGGTGGTTTTTCAAAGGGAGAAAGAACTTGAAAAGTTTGTCAAAAGGTTAAAGAAGATGGGAAAAAGGGACCTACAAGGCTTTAAATGCATTAGCCAACCACCTTCACCACATGTCAGTCACCAACATGGCTGGATGTCATCTAATGGACTGCAAATAACGTGCATGGTATTATTCTACACTTGTTTGCATTAGATTTCTCTTAAAACTCCCTTTTTTATGAGGCAATTAAGTTGAAATTTTTGGAAACTTAGAGCATTATCTTTTAAAAAGGGAAGGGGCTGTCTTTTTAACTACTAAAAACTACTTTAAAAGTAGTTTCAATTCCTATTTGGATTCAAACTACTTGTGAACAATGTGCAGAAATAATCTCTCTAATATAACTACCATATTTATTATTTTCCAAGAAGTAATAGGGTGCCCCTATTAGAACTCTGGTGAAGACATGACTCAAAGTCTACACCCCAGCCTTATATCTACATCAATTAAAGTCATTGCTTAGACATTTCTAAACTGCACCAGTTATTTTTCAAATTTTGTAAGTAAATTTACAAAAGGGGCTTAGCTAATCATGAGAGTAATTTTTTATGCACGAAGTACTTTCAACTTCAGGAATATTTTCAGAGCTTCATTTATGCTATTTATCATCTTGGCTGAATTTGGCCTTTTTCTATCTAAACTAAAGCATCATCATTAATGACATCAGATTTCTTGGCTAAAGTTTTGCTCTAGTTTTGCTCTAGCCTTCCTCATCAATATCAAAAGAGCCACATTGTTGATTCTATATTGCTGCTATCTATGCTCATAGCTAGATTTGGCATAATCTTACCCTTATTGAAGTCTTATCAATATCAGCGCATTACTTAGTTAAAGCCGAATTTTATCAGTGCTAAATCTTTGGCAAATATATTCAATTGGAGGATTCACATTATTATTACATCTCTACATTGCTTATCATATATTTGATCATATTCAGATGGTTTCAACAACTCGTCACTCTCAACACCAAGTAGGCAAATTTGCTATCTCAACTTCACCTGCTTAGGGGCTAATGTTGAAAGATGAATTTGTATTACTTTAAAATTCACAAAATATGAAGTGCCATGTCACTAAGACCAATTTTGCACTTGTGACAAAGAAAGGCGCACATGATCTATTTCAACATTGGACATGTTATATTTTATTTTCTACTAATGACTGCAATGGACATCACCAAAAGTGGCACTCACCCACTTCATTACAAATGTTACAGACATGATCTATTTAAACATTATTCTCATATACATGGCCAAACATAACTACTTTTATCTCTAAAACATGGCTAGACATTTATGACTTTATGATTTCTATTACAATATTTGCTATTACATCTTATTGGCACCTAGCAATAGATAAAGAGCCTACTTTGCTTTATCTACATAGCTCCCATCAAAGGATAATGAGCTGATTTCATTACATCTGCAAAGCTCCTAGCGATGGACAAAGGGTCAAACATCTACTTTACCTATCTTTATCACTGGTTCCCATCAAAAGACAATGGGCTAATTTTATTACATTTACATAACTTTTAGCGATGAACAAAGGGCCAAACTTGCTATTTTACTTAGCCTCCAGGAATGGGCAAAAGACTATATATCTCTACATATTTTTACTACACCGGCTTATGGAAACAGACAAAAGGTTGGATCTCTCTACATATTTTATTTTTCTAGCTACCAAAAACAAACAAAGAGTTAGTGTAACTCGGTACGATTAATGTGAGGTCAATAATTGTTGCAACCTTGCGATTAGTTGGGATAGCTACCTTCCAACGATAAAAATGCATCAAGTTGTGGCCATGGGCTCCTTGGTGGTCACCTATGCATGGTGGTGCAATGCCTAGTAAGCAAAAACAACCAGAACCATCCTCTAACGATACAAGCATGTTCAAGATGAGCCATCATTCTATCGTGGTGTCAACCTTGTTCATATCAAAGGTTATGGATGTCACTGGCATCCTTTTTCCATAGATAACACTCCACCCATTTTTATTATGTTCATGCTAGAGTTCTGGATTAACAAGATTGATCCCTTTCGTAGCTTGGCAAATTATAGGGAATGCTCTTCCTTTGTTCCACATAGTTCATGCTCCAGCCATAGGCAAAGCTAGCCACTACTATCCTTCTAACTATAAGGAAGATATTCTTGGTTAACCTTGCGATATACATACAACATAGGTGGCAGTCATGCATATTATTATTCTTTCTACACAAAATGGTAAAATTACCAGTCATTGGTGATCCCAATTTACAACATATTTCTACTATATTTTTACATGTTGGCAAGTATGGTTGAGTAGTAGCACTTAACTCGATAAAATGATACTATAGCACACATCCATATAATTCATTCTTTATCTTGGTGAATCGACAATTATACACAGCAATATTAAACAAGTGCTTCACATGGCTAGTGGATAAAAAGGCACAATGATGTTTATTCTCGCCATCCCCTCTGACACAAAAAGGTGTGTTCTTCTTTACTACAAATATTTATACAGTTCATGCTTACATATTTAAACAAATACTCATTCATATTTTGCTTTTTGATGCAAATGAACACAAACCTATGAATCCAAAGTCATGGGGATTATTTGAGATAGACTATGGGAGTAGTGGCTTGGCAATAATGGATGGATGAACATTACTTGTCTGGTGAAGTATAGTATTTGTGCCAGCCAAGCTTTGGGCTGACAATGCTGCTCATCTTCGTTAGGAAGGGATGGGAGCAAGTAGAAAGGATGGGGACAAGTACATAGAGGCAAAACTTGATCCCAAAACAACACCATATGATGCTAACTAGAAAACATGTAACCCCATTAAAAATTAACTGGAGATGCCATTTGAGTCTCCATCACTAACGTACAGTGGTATTTAATGCATAGTTAGCTACACAAGTTTCATTACATGGGAAATTTGTTTAGGAAGTTTATCAGAATCTAAAACAAAGGCAGCTTTGGCAACAATGCCCAATTACATACCAAATATGGCATTACATATGGATACAAAGTTGTCAAAGATGGAAAGGTTCCAGCAAACCAACAATCCTTCATTAGAAACATTGAAGAATTCATAATTACACTACAAAAGTTGTCAAAAGTGCCTAGATCCTCCCAAAACTTGACACCTATCTTCATACAACTTATATCTTACCATTGAATTGCTTGGCCGCTTTGGCCCTACCAACCCAAATATTATCAAAATGCCACTACATATATATATGATATTTCCTTCACCTTTCGTGATACAAACATACATATTTTCTAGATTTTCATTCTACATGCTTAAAGCAG